AATCAAGAGTTGGGATATTTAAGCAGTAGTCCACTTATCACTATCCACTCCGCTCGAGGTAGTGGGAAACGCGGTCCGCTTTATCTACCACATCAAGATGCAGTCCCGTTGTGATAACGACCCGTCAAAGGTGATTTGATTAGTGAACCACATAGAACTCCTACGGATAGTACTGCTTCAGGCGAAAACAGGGTGGTGGTGACGCAGTGGTTTAGCCACTGTGACCAGTGTTCTTTGGACCTATGGTAGGAGGTTCGGGCCCGGCCACCACCATTCAGCACTGGTAGTAAGCAGCTTTGCTGTCGTCCGGTTCAATACCACACCTAACCTAGCGGGGCCTTTTGTGGGTTGCCACTCCAAGTACCGAGCCTAGGTTACCGGTTTCCATGACTGAACAGCAGGTCCTCTTGACCATGGGGCTTCCCCGTCTGCTGTTCGTCACACTGGGTAATGAAAAATAGAGCATTCGATTGTTATATAACTCAGTTTTTGGCTTTCGTTGAGAGCTACGTTGCCGTGGCTTCCGGTCGTACATTCAACATACCCTTCTCTATTTCGATCGGTTTTGTTGTCTTGAGAACAGACAGCTGCTGTCATTTGAACCGCCAAGTCAAGTTGTGTAATCGCTTTAAGCTCATCGGCGGATGAATATTCAGCAGCTAATGTTGTCCACTGTCGAAAAAGAGCTTTGCTATTGCTTGGTTCCGATTCAACCCACTGAAGTCTTATATGGCTTTCCAATCCACGTAACAGCTTTCATTGCCGGTTCCCATGAATAAGTGGTGGATTTCCGTGGCCGTCCTTCTGTTTTGCAACTTGAAATGCAATTAGTTTTTGCATTCTGCAGCTTGTCCACTAAAAGAATGGGAACAAAGAGAGGCAAGTAGAGATTGGAGTCATGCATTTGCCACGAGTACAGCTTTTTGTATTTTCATTGCATGTAGTTTTGTGTTTGCATGCTAAGTTTTGATTAGGGTGTCATACGGTAAGGAATTGGTCTTTCATAACTATTTATAAGCCATATCCTTCGATAGTACTCTAAGCCCGGTGGTCAATAGACGTCGGGTATGTCTACTTTACAGCGGATGACTCTCGGAAGAGCCTCAAGTATGCTCCATGGACATCCCGCATTGCAGCTGCCTGCACTCCGCAGTCAGTGGCAAAATCTGCGCAGGTTGTGGTCCAGCCTGATCTCTACTATCGAATCGAAGTCCAAAATTTTCTGCCTCATTGCGTACCGTTAGCTGTTTACTGCATCAGCAGATCCAGTTTAGATAGGGAGCTGGTGTCAATACAGCTTTCGTCAGATCGTTGTTTGATTTACGAAGTATGCGACCAAGGTTGTGTTGCAGTGGTTTGGTCGCTGTCACCGACGTGCTTTGAAACCTGTGGTTCGGGGTTTGAGCCCCACCACCCCAACCCTACTTTGGTGGTAGACAGCTTTACTATCGCCCGGTTCAATACCACGCCTGAACTAGCGGGGCCTTATGTGGTTCACCACTCCAAGTCCCGGGGCTTAGGTTGCCGATTATCATCAATGACTATGGGGTTCCACCCCATCTGCTATCCATCACACACCGGTGTGTAAGAAAACAGAACTGCAGTGGTCTCCGCTGTATGAGCGTGCGGAGCCGTACGAGGTTTAAGACGGATTTCTGACCATTTTATTTGGGAGCTGATCCCTCCTACTTAGAATGATTCCCAGGTACCAGTAATCGAAGTCTTCCAATCGTCGCCAGTCTTCGACTCTAAGTGACCAGATTTTGCAGCCGTACATCAAGACAGTATGAACTGCTGCGGAGAAGACTCGTATTTGAGGTTGATTTCTTTTCTACACCGTGGGGGATTCTTCAGCTGTAGAAACGTCTTTCTGGCGCATCAATGCGCACTTGTACCTCGTCTTTAGCTTCACTGTTGGGCATTATGATTAAACCCAAGTATTTAAAGCTATCGACGGATTCTATCGGCTTGCCGTTTAGGTTTAAAGCTCCTTTGGGATGAATTGGGAGTGTCGCAAACGTTTTGGATGTGTTCATCTCTGGGCCTATCTCGGAAGCCAATGGGCTGAAGCGGTCAACGATTACTTGGAGGTTAGACATGTCCTCACAAAAGATGACCATATTATCAGCGAATTGTAAACCGGTGGGCCAGAAGTTTCAAGGACTCTAAAAGCTCTGGTGTCCTTCCATGGAAGGACTCATTATCCAGTGAACATCTAAGTTTAACAACACTGCGGACGATCATCATCATCGTACAGCGAGATACCGTGAAGTGAATATCGCTGATCGCTGTCAGAGGGGACAATGGGCATTCGTGTCCTACTCCAGATCTCGAACGCGAGTGACTCCACGCCGTAGATGCAGATTCCGGCTCTTGTGCTAGAGTAGAAGAATCTCATGAGGTTAACGATTTAAACTGGAACAGTACAATGTCTCATAGGGATTCGTGATGTACGGAGTCGAATGCCGCACGGAAAGGTGCTGTAAGTGTGTCAGGACGGAGCTCACACAATCCGTTAGGGTGCGCACGAATCCGCGTCACACCACAAGCGCACTTGCGGCGCTCAAGATGAATCGATTCCGGATTGGATGAATAGAACGAATCAGACAGCTGTCGTCCTATCGACCAGTTGAAATGTCGAGGATGCGATCTGATTGGTGCGTCACCATGCTATTCCCGTACACCCAGTTTACCCACTTATATTTGCGTATCGCGTCATGGTCAAAGAATAATACACTGTTTTCCAGTCATGTTCTCTCTCCCATATCATTGTGGGAGGACTAGGCAGGAGGTGCTCGTATCAATCGTACTTCTAGGTCAAAACTAACAGGGTTGACGCTAGTGGTGATGTTCTAGGAGGCGACTTAAGGTGAAAATTTAGTCAACGCACCCCACACCGGGGTGGAATTCCTTCTCACTAGAACGGATGCTTATCTTGCTTTTGCTGAGCGGTTCAGCAAAAGTTTTGGCTTTCGCGCCAAGTAAACGGCTGCTTCTGTATTTTTCGCGTATGGATTTGTCCNTGTCCTCTTTTTAGTAACGGTAGTAAAGCTGATATGGTCTGGCCTTTTGGGCAAAATTTAGCTTGGTTGCACTTAAAAAGCTATGTAAAGGGTTTTAAATGGCTAGAGAGCACTTTGGGCAAGTAAAAGTGCTATTGCCAGTAAAATGAGGTGGCTCAAAAAGGACTGGGGTAAATCCTAGGTCCTGGGAATTTATTGTGTGCAATGTCCGCTGGTTGTAATCTTTTGTTCGAGCATGCTGATCTAGCATTTGCGCTGTTGCGTGTGACTTACTAAAGAGTGAGTGCAGCTGTAATTCGATTTGGAATCGCTGCGCCGTTACCATGTTATGATTGACTAATATCGGGGTATAGGCTTCTATTCTCGGGAAGAAACTAACTCAATATTAGGGTGAATTCAACTAGTCGAACTGTTATACGAAACCTTAAAGTTGGTAGTGAGATTTGGAATGATGATTCGCGTAACTGTGCAACTCTCCGCCAGTAGAAGCAACTACCTAGTTAAACGGTTTGAGTGGCTGTCACTGACACGCTTTGGACCCTGTGATCCAAGGTTTGAATCCTACCGCAGCAGCCTAGATGCTTTATGAATTTAGCCGTTTCAAGACCTAGGTTTCAGATAATTTGGAGTAAGCAGTAGTTCCATTCGACTGTGGGGTTCACCGCCCTACTGGTAATCACACACCGGTGTGTAATGAAACGAAATTGCTGGTGATGCTTCAGCGATAGGTGAATTTCGCTTCTCTGTATTTCGCTGTACGATTATGATGATGATGAATGAAACGAAATAGCCGGTGGTGCTTCCCGGTTTCACCAAGACGCTTTACGTATAACGATATCTGTTTGTCTTCCAGATTCCCGTTCCTCCTACTCGTCCAGGCAATCCCCAAGGGGGTAGGATGCGTCCGCGACCAGATAGTGGGCGTACACGGATCGCTTTACCCCCGTTAGAAGGTGGCATCAGCAATACACCAGCATGTGGACAATTAATCACCCCGGTTCCCGTGGGCCTTTCTGCTGAAGCCAATGCCGTCGTGGGCTCCGAAACAATCACTATCCGCGCCCTGGATTTGCAGAAAATCGACAGTCTTGGTAAGTGTGTACGCTACTGGTATTCTTTCAAACAAAATTTTCTTTCAGTTTCTTTACAGTTCGTGTGTAGAGAGCCATGTGTTTCTCTCGTTTTCTGTTGACTGCTTTGGCTAGATCATGGAGACACATGCAAGAGGTGAATTCTTCAAATCAAAGACAGGGTGAGATGGAGGCGTAACTTTTACTTTCCTTCCATTGTGATTGGTTTCCCCAAATCATCTTTGCTGAACAAACTACTATCGAACGTCAAATCAGGTGGGAGAATGTTGCGGTTGTTTATGGATCAATTTACAGTTATTGTTAGTTTACTGTACAAAAAAGAAGGGGTACAAGTAGTGAGAGGGTGATGAAGTTTTCATCGGGATCTTGCAATAGTCAGTTTTTCAATTCAAAGTCGAGGTCTGACTTGAGGTGGCTCACTCTGAACTTTGAACGGACAAGTCCAACGCGTGAGGCGGCGGAGTGGTGCTTCCAGTCTGCCATCCATTTTTGGTCGGGATCCCGTCCGTCGAACCACCCACGTTCAGACCGCTCAATGCATCTTGTCGCCGATAATCGCCTGTTCAGGAGTTTTTAGGGCAATTCGCATGTGATATGGTAAGTTGCGACTTCGGGTTTGACACTTATCATAGGCATTATCAAAACAAGGTTGCGCTATCAAACGAGTATGTTGTTGTGTGTTATAGTGGCATGTGTAACGCGTGTTATCAGATAGGTTACCACGACGAGCGTTGTTTGCCGAAGCAGGTAGAGGTTGGCAAAGGTCAAGGGTGGTCAAATGAAGACCTGGCATTGAGGTATGAAAACCCTAACCAGGAGATTAAGTCACATAGGTCCTGTTAAACTCCCTGGCTGGAGACCCCGGGATGATGGTCACCGATGGTTAGAGACACTGATATGGCTGGGGGCTCTTGCATCCACTCGTTATTCTCCTAACACCATTCTGTATGAATTCTCCATCTTCCGCTTGAATTTGCTTTTAACATTCCAATCTTCTTTCTCCTCTTTTATCCAAATGGGGCACAAAAAGACAACAAACAAAACCGGTGCTCGAAAGTGCGTGGTTAATGGTTGTAAAAACTGAACTGATCTAAATTGTAATGTCGACATCGCGCATTTTAAGAAATCTTTCGGGTTCTAGGTTTCTGCAGTCAGTAGCTTTGTTTCTTGCATGTACATGTAACAACTAGGCCTCCACTTTTGTGTGTACCCATGTGCTGAACTCAGTGATTTGAGTAATTATCACTATTATTAACACGGAACCCCTAGCGCGGAGTCACCCAATTCAAATTGCAAACGCTAATCCATCTTTGATTGCGTCTTGAGAGATCTCATCCACACCTCCGCCAGTCGTTATGCAACTCCTGAGGTAGGCAAAGCTTTCGACTACTTCCAGGGTGTGGTTACCCAACGAAAGTTCAGGAACGCGTTCCCGCCAATCTTGCAACAATGCCTTTGCACTTTGGAGGTGCAAAGGACATAACCTAACGAGCAACCACAATTGCCAATGGATTCAGCAAAGAATCACCATGACCAAAGGCATACTATAGAAGTAAGAGTACAGGAACAGTCACCCATGATCCAGCTTATTCCTTCTGCGTTTAAACAGTGAAAGGTTGTAAGTTGAGAGAAAGACAGAGGGTGAGAGAGAGTATTCCATTACTGGGGCTCACAAAGGCCATCGCTTTTGGGAATGGAAATAATCACGGAGTGTTACCAAGGAGTTAGAGAAGCAGAAAGTCGGAGGGGAAAAAGACGATGTTAAACAGGAGCTGAGTTGGGAGCACACATTTTGGAGGTGATGGATGGAATACCGTGATCGGATGGTTTACTTACTTTCAGAGAGCGCAGCGCTCGGGTAATCCTCTTAGTGATAATAAGAGGTAGGAAAAGAGATACTCATGGAATAAGAAGCTGGGGAAGGTTAATTTGTCGGCAAACCGGAATACAGAAACCTCAAATCTCATGTAGTTGACACCACAAGATTGCCTGAGAAATAACAAATAAATTGGAGTTGTTAGGAAGTTGAGGGAAATTGCTTTAACAAGGGGCCAAATGGTTCGGCTACCGATTTCGGACGCCACCGATTTTTCGGCTTTGCAGCGAATAAAACGTTTTTCAGTTCTCCTTATGATTACCCCCATCGGTCATGGTATGCGGGAGTGGGCCGTTGGCGGAAGGCTGAGCGTTTGAGATGTATACCATTAACCTCACATGGCTGTAAACGCCAATACAAAACATGATCAACTGGGCCGTGATCAGCGACAGAGCAATCTTGTATCAAATGTTTGATCCTTAGGTGGCTGGTTGCTTGCTGACAAAAAATTACCACTTTGTTTATCTATGCTCCGATATGAAGTGGTGCGATGTCTCGGTTCTTTGAGAGTATTTGTATTAGTGTATACCTTCTATTCAAAGGCACGCATTTTCCAAGTTATAATGCACTCATTCAAAATAAGAGCCGGTCGAGTTCATGCGTATTTTTTGGGATAATGCGCTTCTCAGTCACCCAAGTTAGCGCAAATGAAATGTCTTTCTGCGTCTAACCTACAAGGTTATGTAGTGATACCTGGTGCTCGATTTATCACATCGCACGAATGTTTAGATGGTTCACTTAATCAATCACCCAATCGAACTGTTCGTGCAAGGAACGTCCTGAATGTTTTGAATGCTGCGCATCATTGTGTGATGCTCAGTGGTAGGAGTGAACCACATGGTCATGTGAATGAAGTATTCAGCTCAGTTCAGTTTTACAACTATTAACCATGCACTTTCGTGCGCGGGTTCTGGTTGCTGTCTTTTGGTTG